AAGTACATCATAGACTCCAAACTTCTATTCTTGTTGGATTTGTTTTGACTGCAAGGGGTTTCATGCAAATGTTGACACTGAACTAATTGCCACAACATTTCAGTACACCTTCTGAGTTGCTCTGAGCTAATTAAAATCACAGTCTTACTGCCGAGATGGCGGCAGGTTCATTTATAATACCAGCTGAGGTTCCTGTTGCATAGCCTGGGGGGTCAACTCCACAACCTAATTTTAGTTGTTTCAACTTTTTCCAAAAATAAATTACAATAATTTATTCCTTATTTTTATCATGCATGCACTGGCATATGTTCCTCTTGTCCTTTTTATGCAGTTTTCATTGGCGCATTTGACTCCCCCTTTATTTATTTACAAAATATCCAATAAATGGTTGGCAGAAAGGCTATTGTTTTTGTGAAATCGCATGTTAGAAATTAGAAGAGAAACAGATGAGACACAAACTCCGAAAGAACAGCTGGTTCTCGTGAGAGTCATCCTGCAGCAACTATCCCAAAAAGATGGCTGCACCAAAAGTACTAAAGCTAGCTGCTGATGATGCTATTTCTATGTAACTAAATCATCCATCCATCCATTATCTTTTACCTACTTCTTCCATTTTGGGTCATGGGGGTCGCCGGTGCCCATGTCCGGCAATCACTATGCGAGGGGCGGGGTACACCCTGGGCGGGCGCAAGTCCATCACATGGCCACAAAGAGACAAACGAGACAAACAACCATTCACACACTCACACCTAAGGACAATTTACCAATCAGCCTAACATGCATGTTTTTGGTCTGTGTGAGGAAACCGGAGTACCAGGAGAAAACCCACGCATGCACGGAGAGAACATGCAAACTCCACCCAGAAAGGCCCCTGGAGCGGGATTTGAAACAGGGACCTGTTCCCTAAGAGGCAGCAGCCCTATCAGTTGCTCTACCATGCTGCCCGCAGTAAAATATATATTTTTAATTCATTAACATGAAAAGCTCTTAATTTTTTTTAGACGATTATCAATAATCCTGGCAGATTTAAATTCTGTTCCTCCTAACTGTGGCTGAAGCTGTCCCAGGAGTTATCTACTACAGGTAAGATACTAATTGTTCCAAACTTCCCATAAAACCATCCATCCATTACTTTCACCTGCTTCTTCCTTTCTGGTGCGTGGAGTGACTGGTTCCCATATCCAGCAGTCAGGGTACACCCTAGACCAGGGGTTTCCAAACTTTTCCATGCCATGGTCCCACAAACAGCATTAGCTTCTGGACGAGGCCCCCCTCGCAAACCCATAAACAATGCTACAAAATATGTGAAGAAACATCAACTTTTAGAATGTTTTAACTTTTATTCACTATATTCAATTATTTTACAGCTGCTGAGCAAAAATGTTATTAAATAACGTGTTTTAAACACTATGTTATATTCCCACAGGAATAAACAACAACTTTTCAACAAACTGTTGACCAGAAGAACAAAACAAAAGAAATCTAACCTCTCTCTCAAGCGTGTTTATCTGGAAATGACAGCTACAGATTGCCCTAGTGGGCAATTTTTAATATTTTTATTATTAGTATATTTTATTTTTTGCTTTTTTTAATCGTCTTCTCTCCAGCTTTCTGCGCACCCTATGGGGCCACGACCCCCAGTTTGAAAAACACAGCCCTAGACTGGTCTCCAGTCCATCACAGGGTCACATAAATAAATAAATGGACTGTACTTATATAGCACCTTTCTATCTTATGAAGACACTCAAAGCTCTTTACACTACAATCTGCGTCCTCATTTACCCATTCATACAGCACTCTACTAGATCTCTACAAAGACTAATCAGTGCTTTATCACATTCATACACCGATGAGACACACATCAGAGGCAATGAGGGGTTCAGTGTCTTGCAGGGATACTTCGGCATGTGAGACAGACAAGACAACTATTCACTTTTTCACTCACACCTAGGCACAATTTAGAGCAGGGGTGCCCAAAGTGGGGCTCGCGGACCAAATTTGGCCTGCCAAGCCGTTTCAGTTGGCCCGCCAAGCTGTCATTACTATTTCTAAAATTTCCTTTGAACAATCAATGCGCTTACACTCATTGACTCCACCCAACTTTATGGTTAGTCGGCCTGACGACCATGTTTTATACACAGTAGAGTAGATAATTTATGTTTTTTTTTAAATAATTTTAATTCATATTTGTATATTTCTTTTTGACAGACTTTCTACCATCCGTCGACAGTTTCTTACCACTGAATAAAATGTTCCTTTGACAGAACACACTTATAAATCACAAAGTGTTTAAAAGTAAATTGTAAATATGAACTGGTTTCAGTGGTGATTTGAGCCTCTTGAAATTTAAACTCAGCACCCATGGAAAAATAAAGAAATCATTAGGATTGTGTAAGGAAACAGTTCTCAAACCTTAGATTCACCAAAATATTGAATAAATGTTGAATAAATATGGAATAAATGACAACAGTCTCCAACAGGCCAATAAGATCTATGATTTTTTTTTGCAGGAGTCCCGCCACCTGTCAATCAATCCAGTAGGCATGTCAGCAACTGACCAATCAGCAACCTCGATTTGTCCTGAAGTGAACACCCCTTACCTGCGGAGCTGCAGCAGTGTTGCATTACGAACGCTGTGCAGTTTCATGCTAATCTACTGTAGTAAACCTTTGTAAAATACACCAAAATGCAGGAAATGACATCTACTTTAATAAAAATTCTCTGTGGGAGGACCCCCAGACCCCCCACCCTCCACCACCACCAACGCAGCCTGTTCGGTGATGTCCTTTATACAGAATGGAAGGATAAATAACTGTAATAAATAAATTGACTTTAAATCATTTGCCTTTCATGTATTAAATTATTGCATTTAGCCCGCAGTCCTCTGCTAGAGTTTAAATTTGGCCCTCTCAGGGAAAAAGTTGGGGCACCCCTGATTTAGAGTTAACAATCATCCTAGCATGCATGTTTTTGGTCTGTGGGAGAAAGAAAAGCTCTGCAGAGAGTGGTGAAGGCTGCACAGAAGTCTGTTGGAGTCTCTTATCACAGACATCTACACCTTCAGATGCAGGGAGAGGGCCACCTGCATCATGAAGGACCCCACTCACCCAGCACACACACTTTTTGCCCTGCTCGCCTCAGGAAGGAGATTAAGGAGCATTAAGTGTAGAACCACTAGACTGAGGAACAGCTTATACCCTGAGGCTGTTAGACTCATGAATCTCTAACCAGAATAATCACTGTGAAAAATCACATCATGTTGCTGCTGATCTGTTTCATGTTGCTGCTGATCTGTTTCATGTTGCTGTGTTCATGCGTGCTCATCGGCTCACACAGACTCATGTTCGTGCTGCTGTTGGCGTAATGTTTTTTAGTGCATAGCGTAATTTTAGTTAATATTTTTCTTAGTTCATATCTTAGATCGTATTACTGTTTTTCTTTTACATTTTATTGTTGGCTGTAACTGTGACCCTGTGTGCATAATTTCGTTCCACCACGCATACCACATGTGGTGCGAACGACAATAAAATGACTCTGAAACCGGAGTACCTGGAGAAAACCCACACATGCACCATAGAGAACGTGCAAACTCCACACAGAAAGGCCCCGGCTGGGGTTTGATCCGGCAACCTTCTCGCTGAGAGGCAACAGCTCTACCAATGAGCAAACTTCACATAAATTCCCACTTAAAAAAAAAAAAAAAAAAACTGACCTATTTCTTTAACCCTATGCCCACAAGTCCTATATGCTCTTAAGCAACTTGAGGACAGGAATGGGTGTATTTTCTCTCCCTTTCTGTCTAATAAATGCAAAATGTATCAAAAAAGAGTAGTAATGGTGGGGAGCAGGACTGGGCAAGAGAATAAGGAGAAGACACCGCTGGCTGTGACAGTTGCCACCCCCCCCCCTCCCCCCTCCTCCTCCTCATCACCAGCCTCAGCAGCAGCAGTTTTATCCGCTGCAGAAGCAGAGGCAGAGCCTGTCGACGGCGGCGTGGAGACTCCTGATCCATCTTCACTTCAAGGGGGGAGGAAGATGGAGAGATGGCGGGGGCAGACAAGCCAATTTAAAGAAATCCGACAAAACCTGCATTTATGACACAAAGCTCTGCTTTATACCCTCTTAGAAACGAATTAAAGAATAACAAGGTAAGGCGTTTTTATATCGTCTGTCACAATCCCATTTGTGTTGCAAATCTGGAAAAAAATACTTGTTAGATTAAATATAATCTGATTAGCAAGATTATATGTGGTAAAACAATGAGTTTGTGGTTCTGGATGTTTATTGTAGGCAGAAATCATTCAATTTTTATTTTCATTCTGATTGCTTATTATTTTTTTTTTTGCCAAAGATAAAACATTAATCTGTTGAAGATAATTGGAGCTTTCCTTTCAGTTCAACAAAAACATATATTATTTATTGAGTCTTCAATATTTCGAAGTTGTTCTCGTGTGAATCTTAAAAAATATAAAATAAAAAAAGGAGGAGCAACTAGGAAAACAGGAGGATCCATCTGCCCCCTGGTGGTTTCAATTTATTTGTAAATGAAGAGAGTTCTGTTGCAAGTGAAAAAACAAAAATATAGTACATATTGTACCAAATACCCCCAGGTTTCGCCTAAAAATATGAATATTAAGTAATTTGTGCTATTAAAATGAAAACCTTTTGCAGGTGATTGTATCCAGAAACCATCATTTAAACACTTTGGCGTCATTTCCCTCCTTTTTTTTTTTTTACACAGTAATTTATTCAAGGATTGCTCTATTACTGTGCACCACTCCATTCAGCTCCTAAGTGGCCCACATCAGCCTCTCTGTGGATTCATGTTATGTAATTCCCATCAGACTGCATCACCCTCAGAGTGTTTGCTGCTTGGCTTCAATGAGCTCACAAGAGATGTGTAGCCTATTTATAAAACTAAGGAAAACCTCTGTTTCGCTGCTCAAATGTGAATATTTTCTCTTCCTTTTTCAGACTGCCTCATCTATAATCCTGAAATCATGGATGGATCTTCATCTTCACTTCAGTATGGCTCAAAAAAGAGGGTCAAGATCCACCCAAATACGGTGACAGTCAAATATGCCACTCACTTCCCCCAGCCTGGGGATGAAGGGTATGATGATGCACCCTCCTTTGAGGACTTTGGCACCTTTGCAGAAGCAAATGCTGGTAAAAGGCTGGTGTCGGACTCTAAAGGTGGTAGGACTTTCTTTGGAACCATGGAGACTCAGCCTAAGCAGCCAAGTGTGCAAAAAGACAAAGGGGTTGAGGGCCAGCTGGCTAGCTTTGGCGAGGCTAATGTGCTGGCCTCCAGAGTAACCTGGATGGCCTTGTTTGGGGCAGCTGTGGCTCATGGCTGTGTGTCTCTGATTACTCGTTTAGCAGCAGACCGCTCAAAAGTTCCCTCCCTGGAGCTACTCTTCATTCGCTCTGTGATCCAAGTGTTGTCCATCCTGGTGGTCTTCTACTACCACGAGGCGCCCTTCGGCCCCAAAGGCTACCGATTACGTCTCTTCTTCTACGGGGTCTGCAATGTGATCTCAATCACTTGCGCCTACACGTCCTTTGCCATTGTACCCCCCAGTAATGGCACCATCATGTGGCGTGCCTCCACCACAGTTTTCAGTGCAATATTGGCGTTCCTGCTGCTGGATGAGAGGCTGAGCTATACAGATGTGGTCACGGTCGTGGGTAGCGTGTTTGGTCTGTGCCTCGTTATGGTGCCAAATGTGGCGGATGAGGAAAAGTCCAGCCTGGGGTTCTGGAAGGAGGCTTTTGGCTATACAATGACAGTAATGGCAGGCTTGACCGCAGCCCTCTCCATGATCGTCTACAGAGCCATCAAGGAGCGGGTCAGCATGTGGACGGCGCTTTTTACCTTTGGATGGACGGGCACAGTGTGGGGAGCTTCCACCATGTTTATCATGCAGGAGCCTATCATCCCTTTGGATGGAGAGACCTGGGGCTATTTAATCGGGATCTGTATCTGCTCCACGGTGGCATTCCTCGGAGTCTATTACGCTCTGAATAAGTTTCATGCAGCCTTAGTTAGCACCGTGCAGCACCTAGAGATTGTGGTCTCCATGTTTCTGCAGCTCATCGTCCTGAGGATGATCCCGTCTGTGTACGACGTGATCGGAGGCCTGGTCATCATGGTCAGCGTGTTCACTCTAACCGGAGTCAAGCTGTACAGAGTGAGCAGGGCAATTCGGCAGGATTATCAAGAAATCCTGGACTCGCCTATTAAATGAGTTCGGTCCATTTGTTTACAATGTTGCTTGGTTGTGCAATCTAACGAATGTCTAGATCTCCATCTGATGATTTTGTAGTGCTGTGCTGTCAACAAGAGTGCCAGTTGTGTAACTTATGTCTTAATATTTATGTGTGAAATAATAAAAGGCAATTGTATTATTGTGAACACTTCCCTCTAACAGCACTGCTTTCATGTCAAACTGTGTCACAAGCGACAAAACTAGACATCTGTAAGTGTAGTCCTCTGTTCACACTGCCAGTCTGTAAATATCAGTCCAAAAATCTAAACTGTAAGAGGAAACACTTTATTGAATAAAGAAACTGCCATCCATTTTCTTGGCCTTAATGTGTTGCTATAAAAGAGTTCTCAAAAAGGACAAAAAAAAGTTTTTATAGGGACAAAAAAAAAAAAAAATTGTGTTAAGATGAAGTAAATACAAGGTTTTTAAATAAATCCAAAGGTTTGATTCATTTTATGGATGAATTATTTACAATGTTTTGTGCTCAAACTGCAGCTCTCAACCCACAAGATGCTTAATGTTTAACATTGGTGATCACCTCAGTGGATTTGGCTTCTGTTTACTTTCAGATGCATGTCAAAGTAATTCCCAGAGGCAGGTGCACTGTACTGAATTCAATTCCCACTTTAACAACACATGTACAAATGCTTTTTTTTTTCTTTCCCTGTAACGGACAAGTCAGGGATGTGTCTTTTCTTAAAGGAAACCATGCTAAGATCAGCATTCTTTAAGATTTTTGCCCAAAGGCAAAGCAACAGCAATGGAATGAAATAGAAACAGTCATGATGGAAATAAAAAAAGAATGAAAGAGGCCTTTTTTTAAAACTGGCACGTCACAGCAGGCATGCTTCACTTGCAGCCCTGCAGGTGGCACAATTTACTTCATTTATCTGACACCCCACAGTAAAATGACCTATTTTAGTGAATTATGAAGGTAGTTAGTGATGTACAGTGTCTATTTTTAAAAAGAATCACTGTATCACCTGGTATGACAACCATATTAAACACATTTGCACAGAAGAGGAAGCCAAAGCAGATGTGTTGCTCAGATCAGACTGTCCTGTGAAATGATAATCCACTGATGAAAAAAAATAAAGATGCACAATTCATATGAGCAGTTTTGTTTTGATTATAATTTATGCTGGGCCTCAGTAAAAAAACAAAAAAAACAAAAAAAAAAACAGCTCAGGTTTATTATTTAATGTCTACAGTGTGACAAAACTGAGACAAAATTGGTTTTGCATTCTACCATAAATAGCTATTTTGGACTTGTTCTGAGATGGGGTTTTGGGTGCAGAACGCAGAGAACATGTAGGAGGCCCATCTGTTTGAGCAGGAAACAGATTGCATCCTGCAGTGAGCTGCACAACCTTCCAAATTACTCTGCAGCTCTTCACCACAGACATGCTTAATGGATACATCAGAAGATCAGAAGCAGTGGTGAATGACACTTGATCACGTTCACATGCAAAATATGTAGACTGTTGTGACTGCCTTGTGAAAACCTGTGACTTAATAAACTGTTTCATTCAATCCAAAAAATTTATTTTGAATTCATATTTGCTTTTATACGCAGCAACTTTTGACTTTTACTGTGTATGAACTATACAGTTTCACAAATTTATATGAATATGAATGCATCTTACAAATTTAAAACAAATCATATTATAAGCAATATTATTATTTTATAGTGGCACAATAAGAAAAGTAATTAAATACATTTTTGTAAATGGAATGATGTCCCCCACCCCACAACAACAAGGGAGAAGATTTTTTGGTAGAAACGCAGAACAGCAACAGCTGCAGTGCGTTTGATTGACAGTAATCGTATCCAATCGAAAGAAAGAGACATCGCCGTTAGCCAATCACAAAAGCGAATATAAAAAGAAGGTGGGGCTAAGCGCGCTGCACTCCGTTAGCCTGGCAGTGCTAATTGACAATGTTCGGATGCAGAAATGCTATTCCAACAGGGCACGGCGGTTTTTATCCAGCTAAGCTAGCTTCTGTTTGGGGAAAATATAATTAGCTACGGGCTAGCTAGGATCCCCTACGCGGGCATCTTGTTCCAGACGCTTTAACACATCAATACTTTCCTGAAGGAGATTAAAAAAGCGGTGTCCATCATTACCAATCAGGTAAGACGTGGCATGACTGAACAGAACCAGGCTAGCTGCTGGTCAAAGCTGCCCCCCGCCGCCGGACTAGCCTCTTTCTCGAAGGGATAAACTAGCTCCTCTCCCCTGAAGCTCACCCAGGCTAACCGAGACTAAACCAGCCTGTCGCACTGAAAACTAACACATATCGAGCGGGCTAGTTGTTCGTCTCCAACCCGAGACATTTTGTAACCATTCAGTGTTTTTGTAGTGCATTTTCATAGATAGGTGGTTAACGTTAGCCAAGTTGTTCGGCGTGACACGCAGTCAGACTCAAGTTAGGAGATAACTTAGTTTTACACAAACAGACAATTGGTGCTTTGCTCTAAACGTTTATGTCTGAGGCTGAAAATAGGAGAAGAGCTCTTTAATTGGAACCGCAATGGAGTTAAAACTCTATAGAGTTCTCTCACATTTTGGTCCATTTTCAACCATTTCTTTTAACTTTATTTTAGCTTAAGCTAACATATTTATTATGCTCTGCACTGAGTCATCAATTCTTTGGCCGTGATGTAAAACCCTTTTGCATTTTAGATCTACAAGCTCAGTTTAAGTAGTTATTGATGAAATTCCTTCCAACAAATATACAGTTCTACTTTCTACTTTTTATGTTGGTTCATTTGCACTGAAAGATACAAGTTGTTTTCCTCAGGAGTCGAGATGATGTCAGCAAATACTGTGTTAAACTGCAAACATACTTTGTTTTCAGTGATGCAATGTGTAGAAAATCTGCAATTCTGATGGGAGATTACAAAATATCACTTTTAAACATGACTGAAAAAAAAAAAAAGTCTCACCACATGGCCATATTTTCCAAATGAGGCCAGTACTGTATTTACAATGAAACCATTTGTGTTTTGGGGGATGGCATGCAAAAGCATTACACACCCTTTTTGTATCCTGATATACTTTTTTTAAAAACATCCAAGCCACTTGAATGTCATCCTTCAGCAGCACAATACAGCTGAATAATAGCTGGCAAGCTCTTGTTGCTCATGTTTGTGTACCCTGCACAGTTATCAGATTATATTAGCCTGTGCCACCTCACTAATATTGTTTTGAAGAAATGTGCATGGTCATATCTCACAGGACATGAGCAAGTAACATTTCCAAACATCAACAGCTGCTGAATATCAGAGTTTTGACTGTGGTTGTCACACTAAAGCTTACTGGTAGGACATGGGTATTTGTTCTGCTTAGCAGGTTTTTTTGTGGGAGTCCTAGAAATACACCACAATGTTAAATTTAAATTAAATTAAATTTGCAGTGGGCAGTTGTTGTTGTTTTTGGATGCATTGCTCTGGGATGGCATGCAGCTGTGTGTACCAGTCTTGTGTTGCCCTACAATGTAATTCTGTAGCCATATGCTGCTTTTCTGCTGAGATGGTATTCCACTTGTTTTTAATGATTTGGGCAAATTTTCTATAACATATGCAGCTTGGTGGCTAATTTGGTAGAGCTGTTGCCTTTGGGCAAGAAGGCTGCCGGAGTGAATCCTGGCCCAGGACCTTTCTGGGTGGAGTTTGCATGTTATCTCTGTGCATGTGAGTTTTCTCCAGGTACACCCAGTTTCCTCCCACAGATCAAAAGCTTGCATGTTAGACTGACTGGTAACTCTAAATTGTCCCTAAGGGTGCATTCATACCAGCCCTGTTTAGTCCGCTTTAATCGAACTCTAGCTCGATTTCCTAGGAAATCCGTTTTGTTTGGGGAGGTGTGAACGCGCCATCGAACTCTGTCACGGAACAAAAAAGACGAACTCTGGCCCGGGCTAAAACCTAGGTCTCAGTCCCGTAGAAGAAAACTCCAGCGTGGTTCGAGTACAGTGTGAATGCAATCCGACCGGGCCCGCTCCACAAGCAAGAAGTGGAGTACAGCGCAGGGCAAACAAACACGCGTTTCTTTTACCTTTATATGGAGCCGTCAGCTACCTTGTGTGAAAAACAATATTCTCCATGGTCTTCTGCCTCATCTTCTGCTCATGCTGAATCCATTGTTGAAAAATGACAAAATATAACTCCTAAAACTGCTAAAACTTGATGCCATTTCGTTTTTATTTTTATTTACAGAAGAAGAAGAAGACGTGTCTTCAGAGGTTTTTGTGTCGTTTCTTTCAGTAGTTCTTGGTGCAGCGCCCCCACAGGCGAGAGGGGGAACAGGTTGGTTCAACAGGTTGATTCGACTGCACAGTGCAGTGTGAATGCAAACGCACCAGCTCAAATGTGAACAAAATGTTATGAATATTGGTCTCCAACCGAACCGAGTCTACCGGACTATCAGGTGTGAAAACAACCTAAGTGTACCCCACCTCTCGCACAGTGACAATTGGAAATGGGCACCAGTGACCCCTCAACCTGGAAAGGAAGAAGCCGGAAAAAATAATGGATGGATGGATGGATAGCATATGAAGTTTGATTGTCAAATTTTTGCTTGCCATCAGGCTGTCCCATTAGTACTGCTTAATGCTTAATATGTACAGTTCATGTCATTGACATCGAAGTATTTAAAATGTTAACAAAATGATCATTTTCTGCTGCTATTTAATATTGTGATGAAAAAGAAGAAGTGGGTAAAGATAATGGATGGATGGATGGATGGATGGATGGAAGTTAAAGCTGTAAAATTGCTCGCCGGGCACTTGCATAGCTGCCCACTGCTCCACCTGGGTGTATCCCAGGTGCGATGGGTTAAATGCAGAGAGCCAATTTCGTCTTTGTATGGGAACATACAATGATGACAACACATGGCACTTTATGTATTATTATTATTAAAATTAGGGATGCACGATATTGGATGTGTGGCCGATATCTGATATGCCGATATGTTAAAACTTATTTGGCTGATAAACGATACAAATACCAATATTATTTTTCCTAGACCTACTTACAGAGACTGCATAGCTTTCTCTGCTGTGGACTTAAAATACTACATTATTCTGCATGGTTTTTGTCAGTTTGGCCTGCTACTAGGGCTGGGCGATATGAGGAAAATCTAATATCCCAATATTATTTTGCTATATCACGATACACGATATATATCACAATATTAATAAATAATCTCCAGTGTTACTTTAAACTAGTATTTAAAATGTCACTGGTGTACTCTATTCAAACAGACCATTGATGTTTTTTTGAAATTGAATACAAAATCAGAATAAGTTTAAAATGTTTTATTGAAACCATCAGTTGCACACAAATCTTCTTCAGTAATTAAATTGGTACCACTGTCTCTTACTGTGGTCAACACTATACCTTTAATAAACAAGATAAACAAGCAAAAAAAAGTAGGGGTGCACCGATAAATCGGCCGGCCGATCGATCGGCCCCGATTTCCTTAATTTGGGGAGATCGGCGATCGGCCGATCTTTAAATGAGAAGCCGATTTTATCCACCGATCTTATCTGCCTCCGGAAAGGTCTGAAAATCAGCTGCTGTCCCCTTTTGCTCCACTGTGAGAGCTCACACACAGGTCACTCGGAGCAGCCATGTCGTCGGTTTGGAAGTTCTACGCTGTAAAAGAAAATGAGCCAAAGATCGCAATTTGCAATTCGTGTAAAGCCGAAGTAAGTCGTGGTGGAGCCACCACCAAAACCTTTAATACAACAAACCTCGTTCGCCATTTAAGAAATCACCACGCCGCCAAGTATGCAATGTTTGAAGAGAGCAACCAAGCTAAGGCTAATGCTAAAGCTAGCGCTAACAAAGAGGCAGTCGGTGGGTCGCTGTTAGCTTTTATGAGCAACGAAAAGAGCAAAGCTACCACGAGGAAAGTGATGGAGTTCATGGCATTAGACAACCAGCCATTTTCAGTCGTTGAGGACAAAGGTTTTAGAAGCTTGATGCAGCACGTGTGCCCACGATATAATATGCCGAGTCGGAAATATTTTTCTGATGTTGCATTACCGGAGTTGTTCAGCCAAGTTTCGAGAGACACCCGCAGCCTGCTAAAAGCTAATACAAATACACTCAGCTTTACAACAGACATCTGGACTTCTGATGTAAGTTTAATGTCCATGTTAAGTTTTACTGCACAGTGGATTGACGAACAGTTCGAACGTCATCAAGTACTCTTAAACTGTAAAGAAATGGCAGGGTCTCACACTGCGGCCAATTTATCAGCAGAGTTTAAGGCGATGCTGAATCACTGGGAAATCGATCATGGAAGAGTTCACGTTGTTTTACGGGATAATGCTCGTAATATGGCCAAAGCGCTGGATGATATCAACCTGAAAAGTTTACCCTGCCTGGCACACACACTGCAACTGGTTGTAAATGAGGGACAGCTGGCGCAGCGCAGCATCACAGACATGGTGGCAACAGGAAGGAGAATTGTTGGACATTTTAAGCATTCATCACTTGCCTATTCCCGACTTTATGACATACAGACACAGTTAGGTCAACCCAGGAAACGATTACAGCAAGACGTTTCAACGAGGTGGAACAGCACAGTCTACATGCTGCAGTCGCTGTTGGAGCAGAGACGTGCTATTGGCGTGTATGCTGCTGAGCATGAGTTACCAGCCACACTCACAGCACACCAGTGGGAGCTACTGGACAATGTGCTCACCATTCTTGCACCTTTTGAGGAACTCACAAAGGAGATTAGCTCATCAACAGCTACAGCAGCAGATGTCATCCCAGCCATCACTGCACTCAAGCGGATTTTGGAGAGGCAAGCGAGCACAGACCGTGGCGTGGGTACAGCCAAAGCTACGTTGCTGGAGGCTGTTGTGAGAAGATTCAGCAACATTGAGCATGAGCCCCTGTACAGCTTGGCCACTGTTCTGGATCCAAGGCAAGTAACTATTAACATTCTATTTTAGCCATAATGACTTCTAGCCTACTACTATATTTCAACAAACATTTAAATTAAATTAAAAATAAAAATTTATTGATTGAAATGCATTTCTTTATTTACATGCAAGTCATAAAAACTGTTAATGTATACAAAACACAATGATTGACCCATCTTTCTTTGTTTAT